CATGCGTTTTAAGCCATAGTGTGACGATGATGTAAATTATAACACGCCATGTTTGTGGTAAATATGGGAATAAAAATGTGAGATTTTGTAATAAATTTACTTATATTGAAGTTATTAATAATCAATTTTGCTTAATGATATATTTAAAATTATCAAAATTTAATAAAATACTATTTAATTACGGTTTTTGTGGATAATTTAATTGCTTGTTAGAGCCTAAATCTATACCAATGTGGACATAGTCACTACTCTGTGAATCTTGGATATTGTACAGTATATGTGTATAAATGCGCTTGTTACATTCAAATATTTTGCATGTAGCCTACTTATTTGATTTTTTCTTTATTTATTTACTTACAAAGGCTCAAGCTCTCTGAGCTCTTTCACCTCACACTACTGTTGTGTAGAGCTATGTAGTTTGCATTTTAATTAATTTATTTCTGGTAAAGATCGTAAGTTTAATTGCAATTTTTTTTAGTACGTTTATTAATAAAATTAACTTATTAATTATTCAAATATTTGTAATTTTTAAGTTAGTCCTCCTTTGGGTACCTTCTGGATACATTATCTTAATTAAACAGTGTAATAACACAGCAGTATAAGGGCTCCCTGGCTCCCTCACCTTACACTGCTGTTGTGTAGAACTATGTAGTTTAATTTTAATTAATTTATTTCAGGTAAAGGTAGTAACTTTAATTGAATTTTTTGAGTACATTTATATTAAAAAAAAATATTCATTTTTAAGGCATTATCTCTATTAATTTACCTGCATAATTCAAAGTAACGCTACTGTTGTATAATTAAACAATGAATTTATATATTTATAAAGTAGTTAAAATTAAGTTTTTTAAATTAAATTCTAATACAGAATTTTTAACTAAATAAAGACTTTATTTGCATCGTTTTTATAAGGTGATGTAACACATAAATCAAACAGAAAATAAGGATTTTTTTTCCTTCCTCCTGTTACACCACATGCTTGAACCTACTCTTCGATAAATCACTTCTCTAGAAAATGGCAGAATATTATATAAAGCTGTGATATCGTATGAAAAAAAATTTATTTTTTTTGATAACTTAAGTTTATATTACTGCTTAGCTCTATTTAGTTTCAGACTTTTTTCATATACACGTGCCAGGGATTTATAACGATTCAAGACGTTTGAAGGGTGTAACAAATAAAAATCTCGTATAATACACTTAAATTTAATATAAAATACTTAATTTTAAATGATGTACAATGGATTCTTTTTTAAAATTTAAACTGTACAGTACATTACAAAGGGGGAAACGATTAGGCTCTATGTTATTGTCAAGTGTAAAGCCCTATTTACACGTAAGTTGTGTATAAAAATAGGGCCCTTAATTAAGAAACACTGAATTATGTAAATCGGGCCCTTACACTTTAGATTAAAGCCTCATGTTTTTAAATTTATTATTATTATTTGCTGGAGGGGAATATCGTAATTTAGAACCAACTCTTTAATTTTCTTTTCAGTAATAATATATTAGAGATAATTAATGAAATAATTGTTAAAATGTTAAATATATTATATCTAATTCACTACTTTTAAATAGAGTTAATTATGATCAGGTCCTGATTTATACATAATTTAAACAAACTACAATTTAGGGCCCGAATCGGATTAATTAAGCAATGTCGGATCAGGAGCCTCTCAATCGATGGAGGCCTCAGAAGATCCTTAACTTATTAATACATGTGTTTATTTATTTATTTTTAAATTAAAACTAGAAGTTAAGATAAGGCCTACAAATCTAGGGACTCTCGTAAGTGACTCTACTTAGGCCACACATTGTTAAATTTTAGTAGAAAAGAAAGGTTTTCTGTACAGTACTTTAGAACTAAGGCCTACAACGAATATATTTTATGCTTATTCTATTTTTCTTTGTTTTTCTAGAATTCTTATCTTGAAATATAACTTCATATCCTAAAGAACGTGTTAAATAATTTCCTGTTTTTAATTTTAAGAAAGGAACTTTTTATAACCTAAGCATTATTGGAACGACGAGGAATGGCAAATAATACAGTTCTATAATAAGCATTTTTCTATTATTAAATAAATTTAGCAAGAAATAAATGTTATATTTTTATAATTAAATATTTACAGTAAAACCTCGTTAAGTTGGACACCAGTCCAAGTTAGCGGGTGTCCCGGTTATAGAGGTGATCGTTCCTATAGAAATGTACTGTACTATACACATTTACTGCGCCTATTTTTTGCTATAAGTTTTTAAAGTTATTTACATAATTTAATGCATGTTAATATAATACTTTGCATGTTATATAGTTCAATAAAGTATCATTAAACCATCTTGTAAGGTACAGTACGTGTTGTAATGTCTCGTTTACACATACACAATATTAATTAATTATGCCAATATGACTTTCCGTAGAAACATACTGATATGCTGCAATCATGTATATTAGTTAAGATCACATTAACACTTGGAAAAACAATCCACTTAGATTCTGCACTCGATGGAAACGTACAGTAAACACGTTGCCAAAGAATTCTATTACATGGACTTGACGATGTGTCAGTCTGGATTTTCTCAATTCATTTATATTTCTCCCCCTAATCCCAAACATCTTCTTTACATTCGGTCGACATTGTGCAAATCCATGACGTTCAAGTTCTGTACTATGTACTGTACAGTATGAGGGTAGACTGGTGGTTTGGTGCTTTCTGTTCCACTAATCTTGGTTTCACGTCATCGCTGCCACATGTTTTTGCGATAATATTTTTTAGAATACTCTCCGAATCATCAGTGGAATAGCTTCTAGACTTTCTAGAAGTGTCTAGAAGCTATTCCCTTCAAGTGGATGCGTCTGAGAGATGTTCGAAAGTATCAACCGATGATCGGTTTCTGACAATTCGATATTATCGGCTCTATTATTATTCAGCCGGATTTCCAGATTTTAAGGTTAATAGTCAGCATTCCTTTTGTGATGTTGACTTACATTAACGCCACGACGTTATTCTTGAACCCCTCCAAATCCCGTCCCTTTACAATAACAACTATCATGCTGTGCCATGTATTGCCAAGCAGGCAAGCTTTAATGTGTCACTAGGTGTAATTTACTGTCCAACTCAAAGTTGCTAACAAGAAATATCTAAGATAGAAAGTTGTGAGGATATGATAAAAGCAGGAAGAGGTGATACGGGATAGCGAGGTGTCCAGGTTTTACTGTACTGTATATAGTTTTCTTAAAGAAAAGAAAACTGTTCTAGAACTAACAGAATACTTTTTTACCTCTGTTTATTTTTTTTCCTGGATGAAGTCGGTTATTAATTAATAATTTATGTAATTTTTATCATTAAAATTATTTATCAATTAGAAAAAATCGCAATTAAATAATATTAAATAAATATTTTATTATACGGTCGAACCTCTCAACAGTGGCCATTTTTTTCTGGACCGTTTCTTTTTGTAATGCATACAAATTAACCTGCAAAGAACGGCCATTTTTTTCTGTCGTTAGTGGCCATCGTTTAGAGGTTTAGTTGATATATAAAAAAAGATATAGGTTATTTTATAAATTTAACAAAATATCCCAGATATTGTTTCTACAATTCTTTTCTTCCACAAATACTTTTTACTGTAGAACTTGTTTTATTGATAAATTCGGGCATCATCACTCGTACGAAACCGATTTTCTTTCTTATTTTACTTTAATGCGTTTTTCAGTTGGCCAAAATATAAGTTTCTATAGAGTTTAAAGCTACGTGTTCTTCGATCAGTCAAATCCATTGATTTATGTTTATTGAGATGGAAGAAAACTCGATGAACAAATTCGTCGAAATGGCGAAGTTGTTCATCGAGCATAACGCCAATCTCGGAATTTGGATCATCATTTTCCTTTATTATTGTCTAGAGAACTATTTTCTTATCGTATGAATAATATTTTAAACAAGAGCAACATTACAGCTCACTACTCTACTAGTTTATAGGAATAATAAATGACAATTTAAATCCGTTCGGATAAAGTCTAAGTTTATGTCTTTGTATAACGAGAATCCGAATTAGATTACTCAGTAAAACTTAAACTAGTTGTGGATCTAAGCCATAAATATAAAAGGCCCTTTCCCTCCACCGAATAATACATGTAAAAGTGTAGGACCCTGAGCTGCAGCTTGTTTAGCTTATTTGCAAGCCCGGCCTTTATATAACACAGGCCCTTTCCCTCCACTAAATAATGATACATGTAAGTGTGAGGCCTTAATCTGCGACTTTTTTAAGTTTATGTGTAAATCCGACCTCTGTATAACGAATACAGTAGAAGCTATTTTTGTTTTATCACGCTCGTTTAATAAGCACATACTTCTATATAACGCTTCTAATTAAATGAAATTACTAACATCTATTGATTATTTACAGTTCTGTACTATGGAAGGTTTCATAACTGCAGTAGTAGACGAGTGGCCTCGATTACTCAGGCCTCATAAAGAGATTTTTATCGCTATCGTCTGCGTAATATCATACATAATTGGTCTCTGTTTCGTAACGCAGGTAAAGGACCCATTTATTTATTTAAAATTCTTTTAATTAATATCAAAATTAATGATATTTAATTTTCGAGGGGGGAATGTACGTGTTTCAACTCTTCGACTACTATGCTGCCAGCGGGATATCGCTACTGTTTCTTATATTCTTCGAAGTCGTATCCATAGCGTGGTCTTACGGTAAGTTACATTTATATAAATTAATTATAGTGTTTCAGGCTTATTTTTTATTTTGCTGCATTACTTCGTATGAATTACAAGCATAATACGACTTATAGGTTCACAGTGACCATAGAAATTTGTGTAATTTACATCATTTTCGAGACAGTTACAACATTGATTTTAAGATTATTAATCAGTTTATACCTTAAAGATAAGATATAACTCAATATAAGATTATCAAATGTTTCTTAAACGAGGATAATTCAAGTCAAGTAGCAAGAAGATCGCACAGAAAGAGATTTTCTTACAGTTGTGACTGATCGTTAAATTAGATCAGAAAAATCTATACTATAAAATAGCGTCATTTTCTGATCTTTACTTTATACTTACAAATTATAAGCGGGTAAGTAAATCAACAACATTGTATTCGGTTTCTTCATCTATTGAAGGCTAGTTTTTAAGGAATTTTTAATATAAAAACCACCGAACACTGGTATTGGTCGTGGGTTCGTCCCTCATCAAAGAACTTGATTTCTTTCACTTGTGTAACATCTAAATAGGGGTAGACTCTTGCAGAAAGTCTTCCTGTGAGGTATTTCCTTGTCAGATTGCCATGTGTTGCATTACTTTATCTCATCAAATTAAATCTAAATGTAATCTAAACATTGAAGTGTTCAGAAAGGCAAAGCCTGACGGTGAAGATCTGACTTATCCGAGTAAAACTACCTCAAAATTTCTGTTTCGTCACAGAATTTTATTTTTATCACTTTATCTTCTTATTATTTCACATATATTTAACAGAATCTTTATTATATTTCGTTTACTACTTTGAGCATTTGGTCTTCATGGTTAAATGTATAAATTCAAATGGCATACACTGAGAATTTTGCTATGCGAAACCTATTTTTTGATATTTATGTTAGACTAATCATTTATGAAAACTAATTTTTACGTATAAAATAAAATAATTAATTTAGGAAGTTTATTTTTATTTAAAATCTTGAGCATTTTACATAACAGTTCAATTTTCTATGCTTTTTCATTGTTGTCTCTTTCTGCTCGGTGGGCACAAGAAATATTTTTTTACTCATACCCTCATGGGTTCGAGCCCACCAGTGGCCAGATGGATAAAACCACTGATTTACCGAGTCTCTGAATTAAGCCAGACCAACGGTCTGACCACCTGGAGTTTTCCGGATTTTCTTTACTATCTAACCTAAATAGGTACCTGTTTCTGATAGGAAATCTTTTCGGGAGGCTTCCCCACTTGGCACATTGCCCTCGTGTTGCATTGCCTTATCACGTTAATTAATCTTAATATTTAAAATGCTAATTTTGGATACTCGATTCTACAATTTTCACGTTTCTTCTTAAAGAATTGGTGTGAATTTTGTTTGAAATAAATGATTTATTTTATTTTCCATAGTCTTTATCATAGTAATAGTCTTTATCATAGTCTTTATCATAGTACGTGAAAAAGGATATAGAAGCGCCCACCGGTGTCCGAACGAATAAAACCACTGAACACTGGTAGTCGCGGATTTGTGCCACACCAAGAGGGTTTCTTTCACGTTTCTAACATCCAAATAGGGCCAGTTTCCCTTGGAAAGTCTTCCCGGAAGGCACTTTCCCTTGGTATTCGCCCGTGTGTTGTGTTGCCACATCCCATCCACCCAATATAGTTAGCCATAGATCCATTATACAGTTGAGGAATTAAAGGGCGATTGAGGAAACACGCTATAGAGATCCGGGAATAAAACCGAGCGGTCGATAAGTCCCCATGGATTTTTCGTGGCTGGTCCGTTCTGGATATGTTGGGCCCCATGCTTTACCTCTAAGCCATTCTCATTATGAGTCTGGCTGAACCTACAACAGGCAAAAGGTCCTCTTAGTGCCCACTGGGAGGGCAAACAGTTAAAATATGAAAAATGTTGAGGGAAAAAAGTATTATATACTAATTGATCTATTCACAGCCAAGGCGGAAGAACTAAATTCAATTTCTTTAAATTTCCTAACGTTAATATATCAAAAAATCGATATTTGCAAATCATAATTTTTTCATTGATACTATCTTTAATGTATTTTATATCAAACTTACAGTATTAATATTATTTTGATTTACCGAAAGATTAAATGAGCTGAGACCTTTTAATGTCTACCATATATAAATATAAAATACAATCGTTGAATTATACATAAAATAAAATTGTAACAACATTAAATCATATAAAATAAAGAATATTGATCGTAAAAATAAGAATTTAGTGCTACTCCAAAGCAGTTTTCTTTATAAACATACACATTTTATCTTTAATTCTTATTAATTATGGAATAACGATGTTAAGTTAAATTTTGAGTGTTAGATAAGGCTTTTATTTTATTTTATTTTTTTAATATACAATGAAATCCCTGAACAATCTCAACTGAAGGAAACATAAAAAATGACTATTGTTCGAAGGTAGTTGTTATTAGAGGTTCCATAAAGTTTTATTTTATCAATCGTGGACTGTGCCATGAAGTTTTTCTACAAGTTTTACATGGTATCTCATAAGAGTTATGTAGATACTTGCTAATACTTTTCCCGGTAAAGCATGGCGCTGAGTAAGTTGGAACAAATTCGATTTATTTTGATGGTGGGATCTTGCAATCAGTGAGAAGTCGTCGAAGAGTTTAGCAGGCTTTATCTAGATTTCCCACCGATAATAAATTTTCCAACAACTTCTCATTGCCTACAAGTCCTCGCCATCAAAATCGCTTGAATTTGTTCCTCTTTACTCAGTGTCATGCTTTACCTGTAAAACAATGAGCAAAGATCAACATAACTCCTATGATTACAGATTCATGGAACTTCTTGTATAGTTTATATTCAGATTTCGTTTACATTTCTATATTAAACTAGTTTTTTCTTTCACATACGTTAATAGACTCCATTCTGAACACATTCTTTTACTGTGGCTTTTAATCGATCGTTAATAACACATTGAGTATTCGTAAAAATACCTCTTAAATTCAATTCGTTTATAAATTGAAGTTTAATACATTGATTTAAGCATTAATATATAGTAAATTATAAAATGCAAAAAATAAAAAGTAAATATTCTTACAGAGGACTTGATGCCAAAGCAAGAATCGTATCCGAACCCTCTTTGTGCAAACAAATATGTCTTCTGTGCAGGAGCCATATCAATATATGTCTATGTTTTTAGGAACCCGAAGATATGTCCCAGTTTTTAAACTAAGTTAAACCTATATTTGAATTGTTTCAGGTGTAACAAGATATTACGAAAACCTTCACGATATGCTAGGTTATTATCCATGTTTCTGGTGGAAACTTTGCTGGTTCTTCTTCACACCATGTGTTTGTTTAGTGAGTAACGTTTAAATTTCAATTTTAATTCGATTTTATAATCGTAACTGATAAAAATTTTTTTGTAGGGAGTGTTTCTCTTCAGCTTAGTACAATACAAACGTTTGGATTACATCGGATATGTATATCCTCCTTGGGGTGAAGCCGTGGGTTGGTTGTTAGCTTTGTCGTCAATGCTATGCATCCCATTCTATGCTATATATAGGTTTCTCACCACATCTGGGAACTTCCGCGAGGTAAGTAGGTGATTTAATAAATTATAATTTAAAAAATAAGTAAAAAAAAAAACAATTTAAATATACGCTTAAAAACGTAATTTTTAACAAGATCTAAGAGGTAGGACACAAATGAAAAAGTTCTCGTAGTAACTTAAGTTCATTCACATTTTTCCAAATTAGGAAGTTCTAAATTACTTAAACGTATGATGATTTAATCATCCAATTATCAATAAAATTTTCGTAGAATGAATTGGTTTTTTGTAATTATTTTAATGCGCAACGGATATCGTAATCTAGGACATAATTATGAATCTTGTAACTTATTTGGAACAAAGATACTCAGCAAGCTTTGTTTAAATATTATTAAATTAATGATTAATTAGAATCTGAGCTCTTTAACCTCGAAAAAAAATTAAAAGAACTCTTTTTAAATGACAATTATCCAGGCGGGTCTGTCTTCGGCTTCTATCTGTATTCAAGTTTGACATTAATTTACAGTTAAACTTCGATTTAGCGCTATTATTTGCCATCCTCTGAAATTGGTGCTAAACTGAAGAATCTCGAACAATAAGAATGTGTAGTAACTCAGTCTACACGCAAATCAACATCATCTTCGATGTAAATTCCTAAATTTTGTATACTGGAGTTACAGTTTATATTTAATAATATTTATGCGGAAGCTCGTTTACAAGTATTCATTTGCGTTTTAAGAGGGTAGCGCTATTTAGAAGGATGCAATAGCGAGGTTTGATTGTATATATACTGTAGAGTTTAGATATCTATGCAAGGAGTACATGTATTCATAATCTTTTTATGCGGTTTATATGATCAGAAATGCCTTATGGCCGGGAAAAGTGTGTTAGCTGTATAACCTGTATAAATAGGCAGTCTGAAGCTACTAAACAAGTTTCATGAGAGTCTTACTGCTCTAGAACTAGGAAACAAGTAGCTCCTAAAGTATCTCCTAGTGTATCAAATGCCTGTTGACAGGACTAACAAATACACAGGCTAATTCTTAGTGTATTCATTATTAACAATAACTCATAACAAAAGCCTAAAATAGAAATTATTTTTGACGATTAAGTAATTATAATTTTTGAAATTATAATTTCAGCGTTGCAAGAAACTGTTTCGACCAGAAATTGGTCACGTCCTAGAAGAAATCAGGAATCGGAAATTGAAGGAAGCACCATCAACAGTAACGTCATCCGTTTAAGCCAATAAACAACTAAAATCAACAAAGAATGCCAAAATTCCATCGTGATTGCTTCCATGTTGTTGTTGAAAGGCAGGCATCAGTTATTTTTGACAGCAATACAGATTGTTATAGTTACCTCTAAGGTCGAATTCGAGTGGTGAAAGTATTTCTTATGCTTCCTTGTAAAGGACGGTTTAACAAGGGATTTATTTATCATGTTGTAATCTTAGTTTTTGGGATTGTTTTTTTTTTGTTATCGTGGTATAAAACAAAATCAATGTTTAGAGTATACGGGATTATATAATCTTATAGGTATTTCCGACGGTTATAAGAACGGATATGAAATTTTTGAATTGGCTGTTTTTTAGATTGATAAATATTGTAAGATATTCTAATGTTTATCTTTATGCATATTATGGGAACATTTATTGAAAGTTAAAGGAAGATTTTTAAAGTCTTATATAGTTTGTAGTTTCTACCTCATGTTGACACATTGTTCCAAATATTGCTGTGCATAATATTTTAGAACCCATGTTTGACATATGGCACTTGTTTGTTAATATTTATGTTTTTCGAAATCCCGTTTATATATATATATATAAATATACATTATAAATATGTAGAGAACAACCTGAAGTCTTCCAAAAAACCAAAAAAAAGAAGCAAGTCTTTTATGCATTTATCCCGATAAGATCCCGTCTTCCATCATAAACTGTGATGTCTTCATAAATCAAGGCCCTTTATAGTTTTAAAATATGGAAGAATTTAAAATAATAATGCATAAAACTTTAATAATATATTTTAAAAAGATATCAACAAAAAATACTTGAAATTTTTATAAATTTTTTAATAAAACACATTAAACATTTGCTTAATAAAAAAAAAATAAATAAAATTTTAAATGGGTAAAGAAAAACGTTTTTATCCTGACAATTAAATACATTTTATGTGATTTATGGACCAAGATATTTAAATGTGTGGCCTTGTCTTTTTAAATAAGCGTACAATTGTTTCGTAAATGACGAAGAAAAATAATGTTGTAATGTCGATTTGTATAATTAATAATCATTAATTAAAAGCTGTGCTAGGCTCACAGCATTTAAATTCACTTGTCTTCCAAAATTATTAGAATGAAATTGTATAGAATTAACTGTAGTAAGATTTCTCTAAACTGTCTTTTATGTTGCATGCTTGTTATGAAATTATGTAATTACTCTGTCCTGATTTGTAAAATGAAGGAATTCAAATTGTTGTGTGGTTATGTAGTTACTTGTTGCTTCAAAATAAAGTGCCATAATTGATTTATGTGTGTGTTTTCAGTTAATTAAATCAGCTTCGAAGATGTATTGACCAATCCACTCTACATATTCATGCAGCAAATGTTATTACCGAGCGATATGTTTACTAATAATGGTTGCAATTAGAATGTATAACGCTTAATGTTATTATTTAACTCGTTAAAACTCTCAGAAAATATACGATTTTCAGAAAATTTGAATTTAATTAAAATATTTTTCGTTTTTTTTTTTTAATCAGATAATTCATTGTTTTGGGGAGAAACGTCGTGACAAATCGAGGTAAAGAGGCCACACGCGTATTGTTTTTTATTATGGCACTTACAGACTACATCAATTTAAATCTTTTGTTTGCGTTTTTAATTATTTTTTATAATTTAATTATTAATTATTTTCATGGAAAATATTATGCATTAGAATATTTATTTTTTCCTATTTTACATTAGTTTTAAAATGTGATAAGCTTACACATACAAAAAGGGGGAGTAAGATATTATGCTTTAGCGCATTGTCAAACTTTCTAAATTACAATAAATAAAGAATTAAGATTGTTATTTATTTTCTTAAATATATTCTTACATTATTTATATAATATCTTAAAAAATTACTAATAATTAAACATGTATAAATCGCGAATAAGAGACAAAGAAATGAGAAATTTCAAGCTTATTTCTATGTATAAAAAACGTTCATCGTAAAAAATTGAATAATCCAATAATCCAATAAAAAAAAGCCGTGTAAATTTGTTAGAAAACATAAGTTATATGCATATTAGAGAGGAGTGTAGCGCCAAATTTCCCCTAGCGTCTAATTTTTGAAGTTTTTCTCTAACATCTAATATTTAACCCAAGTAATGCAGAATTTTCCGGTGTAACGGTTGAATCATAATTAAAACACATTACAAAGGTCTTAGGTTTTTACACAGTTGTGCAATACATGTACTGTACCGAGTCTTCCATTAATTAAGTGTACAGTTTAATGAAAAAGGGGTTGAAAAAATATATTATTAACACGATAGAGGAGGAATGCCTACTTGGACTTTTCTTAGTTGCATTACTTTTAATAAAAACATAACCAACTTATAAAACGAAAAATTATATTCCAAACTATCTTGTTCCGTTTTAGACAGGTTCTATTGTATATATATTAATTCAAAGTATTTTGATTTTCACATTGAAAGCGGAAGAATTCATTTTCAATTTTTAAAATTTATATTGTCTTCAATGTGATCTGTTTACGTATGACGTCTTGTATACGAAAAGAAGTCACATTGATTTTATAACAAAATTGATCCCCATAAGCGAATAATATATCAGATAAATCACCGTAAGCATTCATATTTGCCCATATATATATTTAGAATTAGAATTTATGTTGAAAATGTATACATTTATTCAATGTTTTATTTAATATTTTGAAATTTTTAAATTATGTTTTGTTTTAAAATGCTGAAAATTTTTGAATTATTTTATAAGTGTGGCGCCATCTTTCGACCAAAACTTAAATCAAATGATAACTTCTGTACTTTAGACATTAAAAAATAATACTGTTTGGTAATAAATGAATAGCAGGAGGAGTTTATCTGTTGCTTAATTTTCTGTATTTTTATCAGGTAAAATTTCTACATCTGCGCCTGAATTGGATTGTGATACCTGTGTATCATTCGATGTCCAAAGATCAAGGGTTAGAAATTAACCAATTACCTTTCACCTTGGTTTTAGTACACGAATGTTTATTGGTTAACTTCTAATTCTTGTTTGTGAATACGGCTATGAATGGTTTGGAAATTTAAATATCGAAATGCTTAAGTGTTGATTAATTAAAATGAACCAAAACTTATTCAAATTTGCCTGCGCTTCATAAAACTGTAATGCGCTATTGTATCCTGCAGTTGAGATGATTCGGGAGACATTTCTTTCCCCATGAATCAAGCCACTTCCTGATGAGAATAATGAATTAAATCTTACAAACTCGTAAGCCAAAATATTTTTTAAAATTTTGCAGAAATATTTCATTATATATTGAGATTGATACTGTTACATTTTGGAGATTATATAATGAATAGGGAGAGTTATGTCGTATCTAGAGTGTTATCCGAATTCATAAAAAAATTTTGCGCATTATTGGCATTTATAATTTTCTTAAAACAAACCCTACACCAAAAGTATGGCATTTTGCTTTTTATAATAATTAATATCATAAAAAATTATTTTAAAATACAATCTCGCAACAGATGGCGCCACACAAACTTTTATTAATTAAACTTGAATATTTTGTTTTGAAAATTAGAGAAAAGTCTCCTAATTCAACAAAACTACTCCTTTTAAGCTTTTATTATTATTTGAATTTTATGTCATTGTATAAATGAAAATTATCGGAGTTCCTTTCTGATTACCTTTAATTACTCGTAACCTCCTGTTCGGGAGTTCTTTCCAGGTTTTCTGGAAATTCAGAAAGAGGATTAATTTCAGGGCCGGCCTGAGAACAGTGCCTGACACAGGGACCCACATATTTCGAAATACATGTAAGAAAATGCAAAAAGTATCGCTTTCTGTCATACTTTGACCCATAAAGCGATACTTTTTCCCAATACAGTATTGACTTATGAAACTGAAGCATGGACTACATCATGGAGAGAAGACAAAAAGATTCAGTTGGTAGAAATTAAATTCTTCAAGAGCATGCTGAGTAAGACCAGAAGAGACAAAATAAGGAATGAAGAAAAAAGGATAGGAATGGAAAATTTGGGAGAGAAAATAGAACAAATTAGACTGACGTGGTTTGGGCATACCAAGACAATGAAATAAAATAGAATACCAAAGTTGGTATTGAAAAAAATGGAGGGGAGAAGACTTAGAAGACCCAGGAAGAGGTGGATAGATAAGATAGTTGAAGACTTGAGAAAAAGGACTGACGATGTAATAGCGGTGTTTACAGAGGAGTGGTGGAAAGATAGAAAGGGATATAGGTCTTCAGTCCAAGGCCTAATCCAGGCTTGATTGGATTAAGGGCGAAGAATACGTTGATGCGGTCATCATCGTCTTCTTCGTTACAGTTACATCAGTTACAGGTGGCAGTCTATCACTCTGGGATCCCCGTTTTCCGAATTTCAAATCCTAAGAATATTTCGGGGAGTAGTCTATCGGATATGTCGTGCTCTGTTTCTCACCCGATCACCCCATTGTGAGACTGGACTAAACCGTGCTGGACTTACTAAAAAGATCCTCTTAATGTTCACCTGGAGTAGTTTAAATAAATAAATAATATAAATATATTATTTGTCTTTTTTTAATCTTATAAATAAAAATTAATCTTATTTCGAGATGCTTTAATTAATTAACTGTGTAATAAAAATTACTTTTGTTACAAGCCCATATGAGAATTTTGCATCGGTCGAGTGAACCCCACTCAACCTTTGGCGGTAGACTTGGTGTCAGAAAAGTATTTACATTTAAATTTTATTTATTTTTTTGATAAAATTAAAACAAATTCTATCGTGTGATTCGGTTTTTATCGTAAAGGATTCGACGACAATGAACGTTCTTTTCGTAATGAGCAGCTGAAAATTCCTTTCAATTGTTTTTATTCAAACTTCTGGGATACTAAAAAATATTTTCCTAAATTGTGGTTGACGCATCAGATTTTTCGAAGACCATTTCATATTCTTTCACTAATAAGTCGAATATGTTTTATTTCATTTCTTATTTTGTTTATAAATTCTGTTCTTGACATTTTGTCGGGTTGATCCCAACTTACCGATTAAAGTAAATCGATCGACATAACGTAAAAACATGACACTTTTATTAACTAGCAGGTTAAATTCTAACTCCATCTTACAATGTTTTTTTAACGAGCGGTATCACAGTTCGTGGAACGTAGCGCAAGGTCGACTGGTCGTCTCGGCAGCTAGTCCAGAAGTAGTTCATCGGCTAACGCTCCGGGCAAATTACCGCTCTACAGAAAATGTTGACTATTTAGTTCGCGATAGAAAGTAGTTCGCGACCGCAACAATTTCGTTTCTGAGTGTGTTGTCATGGGGATCGTCCATAAATTACGTAGCGCTATTTCTATACTTTTCAACTATCCCATCTCCCGTATGCACATGCCCACTCCCAAAAATTACGTAAAACATATTTTCGATCATCCCCTTAATTACTTTAAATAACACACACAGCACGGAGTACTGAATGTTACATTATAAATTACATATTTAAAACACACGAAACGAACCTACGGTTCGCTAAGCAATACTTCAGAAACAAAAATAAATCATTCTGTTACTCTAGGATATAGATCCTAGCTTTATGTAACGTGTTTGTAAAATCCCATCCCCTTGTAACGCATACCCACCCATCCATATACGCGTTACATAATCCATGAGTATCTCCAGATGTCGCGATTTTACTCATCTTTCCGTATATTTACAATTATATAACATATGTTACTGTGAATGACTGATATCTGGCAAATGTTGAGATTCTCCGGTGAATGTCAGCATTCGCACAGTCGTTTAGTGTATGTACAAAATATTTGCTAAATATCATTATTTATCACTTACACCGGCAAATGTCGACATTCAGCATGCACCGATGATGAATGTTGAATAAAAATATTTTTATTACGTTAAGACAAAAATGCAACTTTTTAATATGTCAAAATAGGAGAAAGATTAAGTAACAGCACATGTAAATAAATTGTTGAACCTAAAACGAACAGTACATCTTAATTAGAAAAGAAAAATAATACGCAATAGTAAACTTACACATATATTATGTGATTAACGTTATACAATCTTATTTATTGCAACAACTTAAACTGTTATGATACTTTAAATTGCACAAGAGTCCCTTGCTTTTACAACTGCATTTATTCGTGGAACACTTCTTTTTGCAATGAGAGCGTGTATAGCCTTGCCCTCCACTTTTTGAATTAGCTGCACCTGCTTCTCTCAGCGATATTTCTTGAGAAGAAATCTCATGTATGGAAAGTAACTTTTCTTTACAAAT